AACTCTGTTGAATCATGAATTATGTCATTAAGTAAGTCCACTTAAAATACCTTGAATTATAAATGGTTAAAATTTGAGAAAATTTGATCAAGTATAGACAACGAAACGTAAAGCCTTAAAACTTGCATTTTGTCAACTTTATTAAGTGTTTTATATGATAAAATTACAGGGTGGTTGGATACTTTTTTAAACCCTTTTCATAAACTAATTTATGCTGACACCTTATTGTAAATATATGTAATTTGTTACGTTAAACACGTTTTATTAAGGTAATAATATACATTACAACAAAAAAAATTTGACCTTTTATTACATGTAAAATTCAATTGGAAATTTTCTTTTTTGGATGATTTGTTAAATATTTCCATTAATACCATACCGAACTGTTTGAAATTTTTGTAATATAGAGTTTTGATATCAAATATGAGCTTACTTAGTATAGCAGAAAAGGTTTTATTTAAGAAAACGTACTTTATTTAGCAAGTACTTTTTTTCATTTGACGTTACACAGCACAAGTGGTCAGATATTTTTTGTATATATTAATTGGCAATCTGTTTATGAATGGTGCAATGTTGATCATTTTATTATGAAATTTTGTCACTAATTGTTATTAATAAAATGAGAAATACCCCAAATCTCACCATCTTCACAAGTTATTTCTCATGTACACACAAAAAATATAGAAAACAACCTTAGAATTCTTTCAGGCTTGTTAAATACCTCTTTAAAATTCTTTTGCAGTTATTTTATTGACTTGACTTATAACAATACATAGGTTCATTTGGTGGGTTTTATTAAAATAAAAGTTTTTTTGTTAATAAACCGATAAAAAAAAGAGCATAACTCTGGTCAGAATACTTGATAGTGTTGGCTGAAAGTTAAAAAATTCCAAATTTTTATATATTATTGACTTCTTGAAATCTCAGCGGCCTACATACAAAAGTTTTCAAGAAACATTCCAAACCCTTTAATATTTTAATACCTGAGAATATTGATACGACGGTTTCATGTATAGCCCGAATTTGTTTTACTTGTAAGTAATAACTTGTAA